TGGGCGATTAGGGGTGGAGACCCATATGGGGAAATTAGCCACTTCAGATAAGGCTGTAGCCTCTATAGTACCTATGGGGAAACAGGAGAGGGAAATTCGAATTAAGAATAGGGAATAAAAAAAGGTGTATATCTGTTGGACACATGTGCTTTCACATATGGGACACCTGGCCTTCCCAGGCCGTTATTGAAGTTTCTTCCAGGTTCAAGCAATGGCTTCATGAAATTCATTGTAAAGCTAACCTGAATTAGTCTTTGAACTCAGGTTTCTTGACTTAAAGTAAAGTGCTCTATGCACTCTATCACCTGCCCATCTGTTGGGTTTCTGGGACATATAAGTTTCCATATTCTTCCTTGAATTACTCCTGTCTTTGCTGGGCCAGGTTATTGAAACTCTACCAGGATTTCATGTCTCTGATATAGGAAGCTCTGTGCATAAAAGCAGCAATCTTACTGCTTATTCAAGAGTGGAAAGTTGAAGGAAAGTGTGAGTTAAACTCAGAGCAATATGTTTCATCAACGAGTGGATCCCAATGGGTCATATTGACAGCAGGAAGGGAGAATGTGTCTAATGTTAGTAGAGCAGGACCTGCTTGATTGAAATTGGCAATTCCATTGGAAATTCTAGAGTCATTTCAACTTATGGTAGAACATGGGATGAAGAAGATATTATCACTGAGCAACAAGCAAGAAGAAAGGAAAGACTAGGTTGCAAACTCACTTGAATACAAGGCATTGCCCTGTTTCCACATGTGTCTTCTGAGCTCACTTTTTCTTTACCTTTCTTCTCTTTCCTTATGATTTAACAAGAGAATACATTTCTCTCCATTCTCCACCAGCTAGAGGAGTGAGTCTCTTTCTAACTTACTGCTGATTTTTAAATTTTAATGTCACTTTAATGAGTGTAGAGAGTATTTTGCTCTTCATCAAGTTTCTGGAAAGTCATGGGCAGAAAACTGACCTTTGGGGGTGAAAAATTGAGAGCAGCCTTTTATTGTTGCTGTTCTCTTGCTTTCTCCTATGTTCAATTTTCTACAGTTTTCCTAAGAAGGAAGAAGAGGGAAAGATTGTCTTTCTTCTTTTGAGTGTCAATTACTCTAGCTAGGCCCTCAATTCATTCCCTCTCACTTCTCCTAGCTGTCTCACTTTACACTCATGCAATAATCTCCCTAATCCAGGTTAAGCTTTGATCTACCCTAATTTTTCTACTATATACTGCTGCAACTAACGTCTTAAAAAGAAAAGAAAAAAAAGAAAAAGAAAACTTATGAGCCCAGTCACAGGAAATTAACTTGGTTCTAGTGTTTCTTCACTGGATCATCCATTGTTTGTTTGTTTATGTGTTGGTATATGTGTGTGTGTGTGTGTGTGTGTGTGTGTGTGTTTGTTTAAGGCAAATTTCTAAAAAAAAAA